CCCCCCCGCAACCCCCGGGAGTGAGGCCGCCATACCAGCCTCCCTTGCAGCTAGGCCTGACTCATTCCAATGGAAGCAAGACAGATGTGGGCCACTTCTGGGCAGTGCCCTCCCTTCCCCATCTTTCCACTGGAATGTGGACCTGCTGGTGGGCCAGCTTGACCACACAGACGAGACGATGTTCTAGGAACAGCTGAGCAACAAGACAGGAGGAGGCTGGGCCCCTGATGAGTCACAGGATTGCCACCCCGGCTTGAGGGGGTCTGACTCTGGGAGGAGGGAGGGACACAGAGTTCTGTTGCTTAAGACATTGTCCCTGCGGGTCACTGGGACGTGTGGCAAGACCGACTGTCTAATTACATGCTCCCTTCCTGTTTTCCCAGCCTCGAAGCAACAGCTGACACAGGAGCACTGGGCCCACCCAGACCCTACACGGCTGTGCCTCCGGGACTGGCTGTTCCCACACCAACCACAGCTGGTGGAACCCGCGTCACCTGGTCTCGTGTGTGCGCCCCACAGGTGAGCCCCGCTTTCTTCTCCTGGCTTGTCCCCTGCACTTACTGACCCACCTAAGCCAGCCCACCATGTACAACCCGTCCCACACTCACTCATGACAGGTCCCGGGGGCTTGCGAGCGCTGCTCCGCGTAAGACACAGAGCTCACGATGTGTTACAACATCTACACTACGGAGCACGTGCAGACACCTGTACACACGCTCAAAAATACATGCAAAACGCCGCCATATAGTCTACACTACGGAGCACGTGCAGACACCTGGGAGTTGCACACACGCTCAAAAATACATGCAAAACGCCGCCATATAAAAGTGTGGTGGTGATGAATGAAAAGGCGGGGACATATACTAGTACGTGTACACGGATCTGTCCACGGATCTGTACATGGATCTGTCCACGCTCATGTGGATACTCAGGGTGGCCGTAAACGGTGACTTTCACAAACACATGGTGACTTAGGCGGCCTGAGCTCTAATATTCTGTTTTCGCCTGAAAAATGACAATTCCAGAAGATTCAAGCTCATGACTTTCCCTCTCAGACACGGGGAGGCACGTCACTAACCAGAATGATACAAAAATAACCTGTCAGGCGCGTCCCCCGAAACTGTCATGAAGGCGGGGCATATACTAGTACGTGTCCACGGATCTGTCCACGGATCTGTCCACGCTCATGTGGATACTCAGGGTGGCTGTAAACGGTGACTTTCACAAACACATGGTGACTTAGGCAGCCTGAGCTCTAATATTCTGTTTTTACCTGAAAAATTGCAATTCCAGAAGATTCAAGCTCATGACTTTCCCTCTCAGACACGGGGAGGCACGTCACTAACCAGAATGATACAAAAATAACCTGTCAGGCGCGTCCCCCGAAACTGTCATGAGACCCAGCGGCCTGCAGGAGGCGCCTGGCTTCTCTGTGTGAAAATGAAGACACACAGGGTGGGCAGGAGGGACGGGAGCCCCTCATCCGGGGACACAGAGTTTAGTGAAGAACATGAGCAGGTGCCCTTGGTCACCAGCCTGTGAGGAGCACGAAAGGGCAGCAGGGCCCGGCCAGCATGGCTCAGGGGTTGAGCATCGACCTATGAACCAGGAGGTCATGGTTGGACTCCAGGTCAGGGCACAGGCCCGGGTTGCGGACTCCATCCCCAGTGGGGGGCGTGCAGGTGGCAGCCGACCCATGATTCTCTCTCATCATTGATGTTTCTTCCTCTCTCTCTCTCTCTCTCTCTCTCTCTGAAGTTGATATATATGTGTATGTGTGTGCGCGTCAGAAGTTAGATGTCATATGAAGTACAGTAAGCACAATGCAGTGATGTTTAAGGCAGTGGCCACACCATCCTCTGCGCAGGCGCAGTGGAGCGCCTGTGGGGCGGATGGAGCGCATGTGAGCGCACCTGGG